GGTTTCATACAAGTGCAAGGAGCAGGACTTGTGCACATTTATTACACTTCTCCAAGGCTCTAAAAAACTTAATGTTTCAATCTTTTACTTCAAAGAGGAAAAATGCATTAGGTTTTTTCAATCCACTGATTATTTATTACCATAGTAAACACCATGTTATCAGCAGAGGGAAAAGAAAGTTCCATCAGGACAATAGTATGAGCTGCCCTAATAATCAGCTAGAAAAGGATACAGAAAATTCAAGTTTGTGATCTAATGTTCAAATCAGTTTTACTACCTTTGGACCCCTCTCATGTTGCCTACTTGACTTCAATGAGGCTACTGTGTGCATGGAGCAGTTTGCAGGATCAGGGTCTACATAAATAGAGATAAATGAACATCACAGGGAACAGTTCCCTCACCTGTGTGCATCCAGTGCCACAAAGGTATTATTGTGTCAGTAAAATGGTAATGGGAGGGATGCATTAGGGTGACCAGATGTTCTGATTTTACAGGGAAGGGATGGCCTCTATATTAAGGGCTTTGTTTTATATAGGCACCTATTGGCTCCCATCCATCTCCCAATTTTTCATACTATCTGGTCACTTCAGGGTGCACATACGTGTTGAGAGGAATAGAAAGAGGAATGTGGAAGCATGTCAGTGAAACTTCATGACACCAATATGGTTTTATGGTTTATGTCTGAGGCACAGGCATAATATTCCAGCATAAACACTAGTAACATGGTAACTATGTTCAAATAATGTTTATTTGTTATTGTTTATTATTAATTCTTGGCATTTGTGGAGTGGATTCAATCTAAGGATATTAAATCACAAATAAATGTGAATATTTTTGTATTCTGGCATGGTAGTAATAGAGTCTTATTCAGTCACAAAGTACTGTATAAACGTCTCCAGTAGCAAAATTTCTTTCAAGAGTTTGGTTTTGTTTAGCTTTTTTCTTGACACTACCCTGGCAATAAATACAGCATTAGTACAAAGAAGGGGGAAAGACCAGATTTGAAAAGAAGTGTACCATCCTCAGATGTGTGGTTTTGGCTGATAAATACAAAAATCAAACATAAAGAAGAGACCAAAGACCTTCAATCATTCATTCCAAAATAATGTCACTTCCAAATTACATCGGTGTTATAGGACATCAAAAAGTTGCTAACATGATTTAAAATTATTCCAAATGATTGTTTTTTTCTGAGCATAAACTTAAAAAAAGTTTTAATTTATTCCAGTACTGAGACCTTCCACGCAAGCTGCTGCCTGGAGCACATTGTAATGGCTGAGCTACAAAAGACCTGAAATTAGGGGTCTCTGGTGGAAATGCTGGAAGCCCCTCAACTAACACATGACTAGCAATTTAGCTCTATAGTACAGTTTGTGGTTAAGCAACTGCAACAGGATTTGTTGTTTGAAGTAGAGTAATCGTGGTAGTTCTGCATAAAGGGCCAAAGTGAAAACTATGGGCCATGAGTTTAGGTGAAATAACATAAACTTAGAATCATCACCACACAATTGGGCCTCAAATCTATCATCACATAGTTACAGCCACACACACAGACGCGAAGAGACTCCAATGTAAAACAGAGTTTGTATATAAGGCAATAAAAGGCCTATTTGTTTTTTAATTATTCCAAGTATAATTATTTAAACATCCTATTCGTTTTTTAATTATTCCAAGTATAATTATTTAAACATCAGTCCTGCTATCAGGTGCACTGGGCAATTATTTTCTTTCAGGTATTGCAAAGAAATACTAAAAAGAGAGTCTTCATTGTTTCTTCTGCACAGTTGTGAGCTCTGCATAAAACCTGTAAGAGCTTTCAACCTATTTATGACTCAATTCTAAATCTTTTAGAAGACAGTGGAGCCACTCAGAAAATGCCCCTTCACGTAGCACCTCTTGGACAGCTGTCACTCAAGTATATGTTACTCTGCAAACTTTGCTAATTAGTGTGTTGTCCAGAAATGAAAACACAGTTTTAGACATATTTATGAGGTGATGTTGATATGACTGGCAGATGTTGATCTGTAATGGATGCATGCAAGGACTTGTTTGGTAAACACACTAATGATTACCCTGCTTTTTTCAAGCAAGGTAAGGCTGCTTAAAAATATATTATAAGCTGTAAATCACAACCATTCCATGTTATTAGGCCTTTTTGTAAAAAGCTGTAATTCATAAACAGAAACAGAAACTGAACGACTGTGTAACAAATGGTATGTTTTATCAACTGATGAAATTCACTCAACACTTAACAATTCTAGCTTACAGAAAAGATGTACCGTATTTTCCAGCGTATAGGGCGACTGGGCGTATAAAACGACCCCCTAATTTTTTAATTAAAAGATAGGGTTTCATCTTATACCCCAGCGCCCCTCTGCCTCCTTTGCTCCCGGTGTCCCTGGTCTGCTGGAGACGGTCCCCAGCAGACCAGAGGCACCGGGAGCAAAGCCGCAGCATCTTTGCAAAGCCGCGGAGGAGCTCCGGAGGGGGGGCAGCCCAGGCGTACAAGACGACCCCCGATTTTTGGGGGATGTTTTTTAACATCAAAAGTCGTCTTGTACGCCGGAATATACGGTAACAGTGAGCTTTCATGCTGCATTCATTAAATTTGTCTCCTGCTAAAAATTTCATTAACACGGTGGTCACATTTGCAGAGGGACAAAACTTTAGCATATTGGAATTACAAACTTCAGTATTTCTAAAAATTTTGTATCATTATGTCACTATGTTATATGTGGACCATAAAGGTTAAGAGAAACATCTTAATGCCCTGGAGGAGTAAAGTTTACATCCATCCAAAGCCTAACCCTGCACTTGTGGAAGAATTCTAGGGCTGGCTGTATATTAGGGTAGACGAGATACTCCAGTCCTGAATTTACTTAACAACTGATTTGATTAAAAAGTATGCCTAAGGGCTCAATCCCTCACTGTTGAAGTCACAGGGAGACTTGTTGCTGACTTATCAAGATGCAGGGTGCATTTTGCAGCTGTGCAAATAACTGATTTTTCAGTCTGCTGGCAGTCCTCCCCCCCCCCAAAAAAAAAAACAAAAGTCAAAACTAAATTTTTCAGGTTGACTCCAAACTGGTTTTTTTTTCAGAATTTTCCACAAATTGTGGTTTGGGTCAAACAAAACATTTTGGGAGGAAGAAGCAATAGTGGAGCTTCCCTGCCCCTTTATACATAATACTCCAATGGTTAGATCACTTATCGCTTGTAAGGTGGGAGACCCACTTTTCATTAAAGTGGAACAGCTTCAATAGGAGAGCTGCAGAGAGATCCAGTACAGACCATTCTATAGACTGCTGCTTCGGATTCAAGTCCCTGCTCCAAAGTGGAGATTCAACTCAAGATCTCCCACTGCCCAAGTGAGTGCCCTAGTCACTGGGCAACAAGTTATAAGGGGAGGTACTACATTCATAAATGTCTCTTCAGTTCTGTGAAAGCTGCCTACCTCCCCAAAATCAAAACTTTTTCTTTTGACATTTCTGAATTTTCTTTCTTTGTTTTTTTGTTCAACCTTAACAATTAGCCACAGTTAATACACTAGAATGTTTCTGTTGACAGGGAAGTTTCTCCCAGCTCTAAACATGCTACCAATGGTGTACTGTATTAGTACCTCATTGCAGAAAACAGTTAATAATCATTCCTATCCTAATCTTTCTCCTATGAAAATCTTAAAGCACTTTACTTAATGGAGCCTCACAGCACCCTTTTAAGATGGTTAATGGGAGTATTAGTAGTTAACGAAGTATGTAAACTAAACAGAAAAAGGTTAAGTGTCTTGACTAAGAATCTCAGCAAGATGGTGGCAGAACTGGGGATTAATAATGTTTAACTATCCTGCTGATATTCCCCTCAGTAGAGCTGCAGAATGTGTGCATTTTTCACCTCAACTTTTCACCTATTCTCTTTGAATGTGTGCACTTTAGCTCAACTCAATGAACAGTGAACATCGGCCTCCCTGCAAGATGCAGGAAAGGACACTCTAAGCTCTTCCAGGGATGCAGAGAGATTCCAATTTTTTTTAAAAAAAAGCCATGTTTTCTTCTGTAACAGTTACCAGTTCTTAGATCTGGACTGTTAATACTCCAGTCATCTGAAGAAGTGGGCTGTGCCCACAAAATGCCATGTACATGTTTTGTTAGTCTTTAAGGTGCTACTAGACTATTCATTGTTTTTTAAGTTTTTCCAGTTACCAGATTGATTGCCTGAAATTCTTTGCTAAATTCAGTACTTAATTTGCAGCAATCATAAGCCACTGGGCCAAATTCTCTTCTTTTTTTTGAACAAAATTTCTCTTGACATTAATGGGAGTTATGCTTTAGTAAGGACCTGTGATATCAGCTCTTGTAAATTAAACAAAGAAAAGGGTTGAGGGTGTGGAGTTGCACAGAGTGTGCAAAGTTGGAAAATGAAGTAATCCCTAGCAAGAGTTGAGTAAACTCCTTCATTTTTGTAAATCTGAATAGTCAAAACTTTTAAATGAATTCATTTGAGGTTCGCTCTTTGCTTGAGATTTTGACACCAGCCTTTAAAGAACTTCAGGGACAGAAAAAGAAAACTTTACAACAGAAAAGTTTATTTGCAAAAGTAGAGAGAAAAAATAACCCACCATTAATTTTGACAAGGCTACTTTTGTCTCTTTTGTAATAATGAATTATCTAACTAGTGTAAGAGATTTTCATGGTAAAATGCAAAGTATTTGCAATGCTTGCCAGGCTAATCAAGATTATTTCCAAAATGCCAAAACAGGAACTTCCTTTAATAAATAACTGAACAGATTTACACATCAAATTGGAAATGTTGGAAGAAAAAGACTATACCTGAAGCCAAAACAAGGTTTATAATATCCTATTCACTGTTTTTCTCTGATTGCTTTCTTTAGTCTTCCCTTAGAACAAACAATGATCCAGGTGCAAATGCTCAATTCACAAGGAATGCAGTGAACATAAAATTACTGTAGGTTTCGCTGCTAGTAAATCCCTGCTGTTACTCACCATTGGAAGTTGTGCTGGAGGCAACAGCTTTCTCACTGACATCTGTTCGAGTGGAGCATTTCACTATGGAATTCTCAACTTTTTTCTTCTCAGTTGTGGCAGAGCTATGGGACTGAGCCTCCATGATGACTTCTCATTACTTCAGCTCTCCTCACACTAATACCTGAATAAAACAAGAGAGTCATAAACTTCAAATGCCATGAAAACCTTAGTCAGAAACCTGCTACACTTCTCACCTGAAAAAGAGGCTGCCGCACAGCAGCATTAGCAATCCACAGGCCATGTCATGAAGCTCATCAAATCAGGTTTGCATGCATGAGTTCCTGAGGAATTTAAGGAAATGCTAACACCAAAGACAAGCACATTTGCTTTTAAACAGAATCAGCATCATGCTCGAGTCTGCTGCTTTGATGGGAAGGTCCACTTTTTTAAAACCCTTTAAGAATTTTAATGGATTTAGGGGTGAGGGGAGGCGGGATTTTTTTTCCCCCTTTGTCCTGAGCAGCTTGGAACCATGTAGCAAAATGGAGACAAACCGGCATGTTACTGGAGAAGCCAAATTTTAATCTTCAGCATTCTGACTATCCCTAATATACAGCAACAGATTACCTCACCAAGTCTATCTTGCCTTATTAATGTAAGCATTTCTCATTTTGTTTGTTTAAAAACGTAACTCAAACACAAGCATATTGGAACAATGCTCTGAAAACCACAGAGAAAGGTAAATGTGATTGCTAGTGACAGATAACAGGATCACTTTCTTTGCATGACAACCCTGAAATGGAAAGCCATGCAAAAAGCATGTTTAGTTATTCTTCCTTTCACCAATGACAGTAAAAATAATCTGCACTGACTCTTGGTTCAGTCCTTTCATATCCATTGGATCATTCCTAGAGTTTTCATGTTTGTGACATAAACCAAAAAAACCCACAGATTTCCAAGAGGGAAAAATTCTATGTGCATCCACTTCAAGGTACTGTGACTACAGTGATCCTGGTCTGCAAGAAACATAGGTATTTTCAAGCTCTTAATTTGACACAAGGCAGGCAATTAAATAAGCTTTATACAAGTCTCTCTCTCTCTTTAAGATTTGTGCCTCTGTCTGTGTGTCCATCTAGAAGTTCATATGTTCAAGAACTCCTCCTAAACAGTAAGATCTAGGACTGCCAAATTTGATGTGCAACTTCCTCTTCTCCTAACTTAAAGTCAGGATTTATTTGTGCCAGGTCAATCAGAAGCACCGGGAAAGGGACTGTTTTCCATAATGTAGAAAAGGAGACATGATACTGAGAGTGGCCACTGGGGTAGTGAGCTTCTAGTGGAGAGAACATAAGAACGGCCATACTGGGTCAGACCAAAGGTCCATCCAGCCCAGCATCCTGTCTGCCGACCTTGGCCAATACCAGGTGCCCCAGAGGGAGTGAAATGGTCAAGCCATCTCTCTCCTGCCATCCATCTCTACCTTCTGACAGACAGAGGCTAGGGACACTGTTCCTTACCCATCATGGCTAATAGCCATTACTGGACTTAACATCCATTAATTTATCTAGTTCTCTTTTAAACCCTGTTATAGTCCTAGCCTTCACAACCTCCTCAGGTTGACTGTGTGCTGTGAGAAGAAGAACTTCCTTTTATTTGTTTTAAATAATCTGCAGTGTCTGCCGGGGGCAGCCATACCACCAAGGGAGTAGCCAGCAGGGCTGGGGCTCTGCCATGTTACCTGATAGCACACCAGATAAGTAGTCCCCCTGCCCCAAACCTTTTCCCTCGCTCTGGGCCCTTGGCCACAGTGTTGGGGAAGAGGGAGAAAATGCCCTAGTGGCGGGGGTCGAGGGGACTGGAAGGAAAAAAAAAGGCCCCTGGCAGCCAGGGGGAGGGGTCTGGGAGAAGAGAAAAGGCTCCTAATGGCCGAGTGGGGGCTGAGGGGAGAGAAAAGGACCCTGTTATAGTCCTATGGCTAGGTCTATAACCCTCACTCTTGCACCCCCCATTTCCAGCCTTCTGTACTGCCGCCTCCCACACACACTCCCCAGGGTTCTGCCCTGATTCCTGCAACCCCCCGCACGGCCAGCTCCCTGCCCTGAAGAACCCGGACAACACGGGGTAAGTCTTCTAGTAATCAATATTTAGCACATACGGTGCTTAGACCCAAAGAAGTACCAAGTTGCTAAAAGAACTAAAACAAGGTCCCATGTTACAAAAACAAGTCAGGAAATTAGACTTTTTTTTAAAAAAGGAGTTTTATATGCTTCCTTTATGAGCAGTATGGCAATTATCATAGAAACAGAGTTAGAAGGGGCTGAAGTGGTCTAATTGCCACCAGTATATCACCAAACAGATATTAAAAGAAAATAAATTTGTTATTCTAGGATAGGCCTAAATTAGCTCAACTTTTAGATTATGTCAGTTATAATATAAGTAAACACCTAACACTACAAAAAATCATAATGTAACCCAGGGGTGGGCAAAAGGCACTCAGCAAGCCAGATCTAGCCTGTCGAGGGCTTTGATCTGGCCAATGCGGCTCATCCAGGCCCCGCCTCTTAGCGCATTGCCTGGGAGCCAGAGCTGTGCAAGCCCTTTCAATTGCTTCTATTTAAAGGGCTCGCGCCTTCCACATACCTGTCAGGCAACGCGTTGCCTGGCAGCCGCAGGGAAGACGTGATCCCTTTAAATAGAAGCAGTCGAAAGGGCTTGCACAGCTCTGGCTCCCAGGCAATGAGCTAGCGGAGCTGGAGCTGTGAGCCATTTTAACTGTTTCTATTTAAAGGCAACCACCCAGCAGGCACAAGTCCTTTAAAGAGAAGCAAACGAAAGGGCTCGCAGTTCTGGCCCCATCCATGCTAGCCTGTTGTCCGGGAGCCAGGAACACGGGAGCCACTTCAACTGCTTCTTTTTAAAGGGCTCGTGCCTTCCCCGTGGCAGGCAGGTAACAGCCCCAAGGAAGGCGCAAGCCCTTTAAATAGAAGCAGTTGAAAGGGCTCGTGTCCCCGGCAACGTACTAGCAGCAAGACCGGGAACAGTGAGCCCTTGAAATAGCAGGAATTGAAAGGACTTGCAGCTCCTGTCTCCAACTAACATGATGCCTGGGAGCTGCTGGGGTGCCGCAAGCCCTTTCAAACTCCTGCTTTTTAAAGGCTCTGCCCCTTCCATCTGAGGCCCCGCCCCTTCTGGGGCAGCCTGCGATCGCTTCAAAAATTTTTGACGTGGCCCCCAATCAAAAGTTATTGCCCACCCTTATATAGCTGTGACAGGACGCCTGCCCTGCACTGGCCGTTTAAGACCAGGACACAGGCCCTGAGCCGGGGCGGGAAACAAAGAGGCCAGCTGAAGCTGTTTGGGCTAGGGAGAGCCCAGCTGGCAACTATCTAGGGCGGCACAATTGGCTTGTAGGAGCCAGCTGAAACCATTAGGGCGAGTGTGAGCCCAGCTGGTAGGTGTATATAGAGAAGCACAGTTTGCTTAGAGGGGGAGCCAGTGGAGGGCTGACTGCCGAGGAAGCAGGAGCTCCTTGGAGGGAGACAAGCTGGGGATAGCCAGCAAAGGCTGGAAGTGGGCCAGCCAAGACTCCGCTTGGATAGGGGCTGGAGACAAAGCCTCTGGTTTGCGGGCCTATCATGAGGCTGACTAGGTAAGCTGAGCCATTGTGCCAGATGCCAATGATGAGCAACCCATACAGACTGTAACTTGCCCTGAGAGGGGCTATATGAGGACAGTCAGGGGGCACTGAGGCACAGTGGGGGGCTTGCACCCCTGACAGCCTATAAAGACATTTGATTACACTATGTGCTACACCCCATGTTAACTGATTTCTGCAACTTTGACTGATTCAGTAAATAATATAACCCATGCATACAAAGCAAAATTTCTGACCCATATATATGCAGCTCTCTAATAAACCTTTTCCCCGCACTGGATGGGGTATTTTAGTTTAATAAAATAATCCCAAAAAACTCATCATTGTACATCAGGAATCATGAAAGGCCCAGGTACTACGTGAATCATTACTAAGAAAAGTATGTATAATGGCTCAGAGGACAAGGAACTTGTCTGGTATTCAGAAGACACAGATTCTGTTCCCATCTCTACCACTGAGCTGCTGGGCAAGTCATTTCACCTCGCTGTACCACAATTCTCCATGGCTACGTCTACATTGGCCCCTTCTCCGGAAGAGACATGTTAATTTCCAACTTCAGAATAGGGAAATCCGTGGGGGATTTAAATATCCCCCGCGGGATTTAAATAAACATGGCCGCCGCTTTTTTTCCAGCTTGGGGAAAGCCGGAAAAAAGCATCTAGACTGGCGCGATCCTCCGGAATACGGAATAAAGTCCTTTACCAGAGGATCTCTTATTCCTACTTTGAAGTGATTCCTACTTTGAAGTAGGAATAAGAGATCCTCCGGAAAAGGGCTTTATTCCGGAGGATCGCGCCAGTCTAGACGCTTTTTTCCCGCTTTTCTCCAAGCTGGAAAAAAAGCGGCGGCCATTTTTATTTAAACACCGCGGGGGATATTTAAATCCCCCGCGGATTTCCCTATTCTGAAGTTGGAAATTAACATGCCTCTTCCGGAGAAGGGGCCAATGAAGATGTAGCCCATCTGTAAAAGTGGGGACAATGACCCACCTTTGTAAAGTGTTTTAAAAACTGTGGCTAAAAGTGCTGTATAAGTGCTAAGCATTCACAGAATGATTTCCTGTCTCACCCTGAGCAGCATTTCAGGTGTGTCAGAATACAGGACTGCATAAGCCAAGGAGTAGCACGTAACATGGTAAGCTCCATTCCAACACCAACAGCATACAAGTCCTTGGTATTAACTGACATTGCATTCCTTTCTCAGGAAGTCTGTGTGTCATTTAGGGGAGGGAGAATGAGAGCATAATTCCTTCAAATCAAGAGTCATGCTATCCCGAAGAAAAAAAAACAAAAACTGTCCAGTAGCACACTGCACAGTGGCTAAAGAAATCCATAGGATTTACAGGCTATTCCCGGAAACTTTCCACTTTCGGGGGGAGAATCTGGTAGGAACTTTTCTCCTGCGTGCTTCTCTGTGGGAGGGCAGTCCAAGGTATGGTAATTAACAAAAGCCTATCATCTTGTCTTGTCCATTCCCCGACCAGAATAAGGGACAACCCTACTATATATACTTCATGTGCTTCGTCC